ATTCATTAACCTATAGAAAAAACAAGAATTAAAAAATATTAAATTTTCTATTTTTTATGAATTTTTAAAGAACAAGAAAACATTAAAGGAATTAAAAAAATAAAAGAAAACAATTAAAGGGGAGGGGGTGTGATAAGCAAGACACGCCAGTTCATTATTCATGTGGGCCAGATATGGGGGGGTGTTAATAGAAATCTGAGCTAGGCCCACACGCGCTTCATTAAACAAAACGCCGCGTTTTGCTTATGGTCTTTCCCTCCGTTTTAAGTTCAAATGCTGGCCGTTAGATGAGGTGAATTGGTCAAGCCCTGGGACTAATCCAACGATGGATAGCCATCGTCCCCAAAATGCATTAGGGTTTTCAGGTTTCACGTGTTCATGCATGGATTTTCATCACCATCGTTCTCCTTTGCTTCTCAATGAAAATCAAAAGTTCCAAAAGCAAAGTTGATCTATTAATCCCCAGGAACACAACTATGCTCATATTTTCCATTGAATCTTCTTAAAACTCGCAAACAAAATGGATGAAGTTCTTGGTTCCACCATTTTCACTGATATCAATCATGGGGAAACTCAAATCTAATGGTATAATTCTCTTCTACATGTTATGCTTATCACAATGAGCTATCAATCATGCACTAAAACCTAATATCCAGCTTGCTCTCAACCATAACAGATTCTTGCACCTGCCATGAAACTCCACGAAATTCCCCCTAATGCCTAGGATTTAATCAACTAACCTAGCTTAACAGTTCTACACCTAAGATCTAACCTAACTATGCATAATTAAGGAGAAATGAGTGAATTCACCAACCTGTCAAGTATCAATGGTGGAGGTATGAACAGCTCCCTTCAATGCTTGCTCTTGCTTCCAAACACTCCTCTAATGGTGTTAAGCTTTCTGTTTGCAAGAATCTTGAAGATGATAGCCTCTAGTGATCAATTCATGGATTTGCTTGCTCTTGAAGAATGCTTGAAAACCTTGCTTTTCTCTCCCTCTCCTCCACTGAATTCTCCAACTTTCACCAACCTCTAATCACACTCTGATCCACTCTTTTTATAACCATCATTGGAAAAGTCTAGGACCATCTAGAATGATCTAGAAAGTCCTTGAAATCTCATGTGATGACATATTGAATTTCTCTCATCTCATGCCTTATGCCTTACAATTTGGTGCCAAAATACCTTTACATGAGATAATGAGAAGATATGTGTGAAAAACAAGCTCACCTTTGGCTTATGTTAAGTTTTGCAAGGGTGCCTTAATATGCAAGTATGAATTTTCCAAAGCATGTCCCATTTTAAAGCTTCAAATAAAAATTCTATTTAAACCAATGTTCTCAAAATGATGTTTCCAATCAAAATGGTATATTGGATGACCTATTTTGGATTCCTAGATCTTCCAAACCAATTTTCAAATTCAACTTTTTAAACTTATAAGCCATTTTTAGTTCAAATTTAACCAATCATGCAAATCCATGCTATGAGCTTTTCCAACAATTCATGACCTTCTTTATGGACTTAAAATCACATTTTGAACAACTTTCATGTTTTGAGTTTTTCCATTTGAGGCTTGGAAATAGGAGATATGACCTTTGCTTAAAATGACCTATAACTGACAAATGACCAAAATACCCCTGTCTTGTTCAAACCATAAGTTGAGTTCTACAAATCCTATCAAGGACTTCTACCACTCAAATTAAAGCTAATAAGATGCCCTTCAACATTCATGTTTACCAAGAGATCATAGGAATCATCCTACTAGGGAAAAAGCTGTCTGCAAGTTGGGTGACTTTCAAGGACCCAGATTCACACACCTCAGCTGACCTGTAATTTGTCAAAACCATAACTTGAGCTCTGTAACTCCTATCAAGGACTTCCACAACTCAAATTAAAGCTAATAACAAGCTATACAACATTCATGTTTTGGGGAAGATGAGATATCAATCACATCTAGAGCTAAAACTGCCTGGAAGATAGGGATCAAATTAGGGTTTTTCACTGACAATCCTTGGAAACCCTGACTTGAAACTTCTCAAACTCCTCAATCATGATGAGTTGGTCTAGGAATCATCCTTATAACATCTCTATGCATCATTCCATGATCTCATGGCCCTTGGATTAGGTCTCAACCTTCTCCAAATCTTCAGTTATCCTAGGGTTGACCCAGTCAAAACCCTAATTCTACCATTCATGGTTGAATCTCCTGAATTCTTGCATAATGACCTCTCTGGGCTTCATGATGGCTATCAAGACATCTCATAGGCTTTCTCAAAACATCAAGTTCATTCTCAAAGTCTCAGAATCATCTGAGGAGCACCCACAACTCTCAAGCTATGAAGCACACAACCCTGGTTTCACCTAATTCCTCTGGGGATCTCTTGAACTGCCTGATGAAGGTATCAACTTTCAAACACTCAGTGAATAAATAATTGTTGGTCAAATTTTGGGGTGCAACAGCTGTGGATTTTCGATCCTCAGCATCACTACACCAACTGGAGTCTGTGTATCCCACTAACTTGCATTCTTTTCCTTCATTAGCTGCTGGAAACAAAATGCCATAGTCGAGAGTTCCTTTCAGATACCTCAGTATCCTCTTCGCCGTTGCTAGGTGTGATACCTTTGGTTTCTGCATGAATCTACTTATCATACCAACACTGTATGCTAAGTCAGGCCTTGTGTGGAAAAGGTATCTAAGTGACCCCATAAGTCTTCTGTATTGGGTTAGGTCGACATCATCTTCATCTGAATCCTTCGACAGTTGCAATTTGGGCTCAGCTGGAGTCGAAGTTTGGTTGCAATCTTGCATCTCAAATCTCTTGAGTATCTCGCCTGCATATCTTCTTTGGTGCATCATCAAACCTCTACTTGTCTTGTAGAATTCGATGCCAAGGAAATATGAGAGATTTCCCAAGTCTGACATTTCAAACTCCTTACTCAGGTCATGTTTGAAATCTTCGATCTCCTTCTTGGAACTCCCTGTTATCAACAAATCATCAACATAGAGACATAGTATAAGCCATTCGCCATTGCTTCTTCTTACATATACTCCATGCTCAGTTGTACACTTCACAAATTCCTTCTCCCTTAAGAAGCTGTCAATTTTATTATTCCAAGCTCTTGGAGCTTGCTTAAGTCCATACAGGGCTTTATGAAGCCTGTACACCTTTCTTTCTTCGCCTTGTTTCACAAACCCAGCTGGTTGTGCAACATAAACTTCTTCTTCTAAGGGGTCATTAAGGAATGCACATTTCACGTCCATCTGACATGTGTGCCAGTTGTTCATATTTGCTAGACCAACAACCAACCTGATTGTTTCGATTCTAGCAACAGGTGTGAATACTTCATCGAAGTTGATTCCTTCCTTCTGAAGAAATCCTTTCGCCACAAGTCTCGCTTTGTGTCGAGTTACTTCTCCTTTAGGATTTACCTTCACCTTGTAAACCTACCTCACATCAATTGCCTTCTTGCCTTGCGGAAATTCGACAATTGACCAGGTATCATTGACTTTGATGGACTCTAACTCTTCAATCATTGCTTTCACCCACTTCGAATCTTTCAATGCCTCAGCTGCATTGACTGGTTCGACATCTGCGTAGAAAGCATAACGTACCAGCTCACCCTCTTCATCGACTACATCATCTGATGTGATTACACATTCTTGCAACCTTGCAGGCATGTGTCTTGTTCGTCGAGGTCTGCTTGAACTTGCTTCATCTGCAACTGGTTCCTGTCGAACTTCTATTTCGACTTCAGTGGCTGCAGTTGCTAAACACTTGTGCTCCATCACATTGAGTCCAATCTTGAAGGTCCTATTCTGAGACATTGGAGCCTTCAAGATTAGTCTACCACCTGCGTCGAGGACTCTCATCATCTTGTCTTCGACAACTACCTTGTAGTTCTTTTCGACAAGTTGCCCTATACTGAGCAAATTACTCTTCATGCCTGGTATGTACAACACATTGGAAATTATTGACCTTTTGCCATCTTTCCTCATAATCAGAACATCACCAACACCTTCAGCTGCTAGAGTGTTGTCATTTGCAAACTTCACCATATTCTTCGACGAGGGCTTCATGTTGACAAACCAATTTTTCCTTCCAGTCATGTGTGATGAGCATCCTGAGTCCAAGTACCACTGATCTTGGAATCTTTCTTCATCGTTTGTTGGGTTTTGGGTGAGTATGTGGTGTGTCTCTCACAAAGGTTGCTCTAGAAAAAGTCCCTCTATGTTCAATGCTCCCTAGTTGAAAGTCCAACAGTGGTATCAGAGCCTGGTTCGAATAAAGGGAACGACTTACTTGTATCGAAAGTATCTCCATAGGTCGTGGGTTGAGTGTCTCGTTGAAGAATGTCAACGGCGGTACAAGGGTGCAGTTGCACAGTTAAGGTTTCCGCTTAAGGGAGAGCGTTGGGATAGACTCACACTTGAGGGAGAGTGTTAAGTATTAACAAGTGTGAGTAGGGTGGATAATAGTCCCACATTGGATAGAAATGTGGTGACTTGAGCATTTATAAGTGAGAGAACCCATACACCTATCACCTTAAGGTTTTGGGTGAGTATGTGGTGTGTCTCTCACAAAGGTTGCTCTAGAAAAAGTTCCACTATGTTCAATGCTCCCTAGTTGAAAATCCAACATTTTATAAATATTTTAAATATGTCAAACGCTAAATATTTATTTTTTATTAAATATATATATACAAAAGTGTAATAAGAAAACAACATAAATTGCAATCTTAATAGAACAGAAAAAATTAAAATTAAAAGCTCTAACAGAAGAACTTCACTGTTACATTATATAACACTAAACAAGAATTAAAAGAATAACATATTTAAGTTGGGACTAGAATAATGTGGTTAACTAACTAATACATGGTTAGCACCAATTTATGGGGCCACTTAGTACAAGTAAAAAATAAAACAACAACAATTTTAGAAATGAAATGAAATGAGGTTGTTGGAATTAAATAAAGGCAATGAATTTATAGGTGAAATAGTTTCATCTAATGGCCATCATCATCTTCACAAATTCATCATAGTCAACTTGACCATCACCATCCATATCTGCTTCTTTAATCATCTGCTTCACCTCCTCATCACTTAATTTTTCACCTAGATTCATCATTACATGTCTCAACTGCACAAAACACATAACACATGCTTTTTTTACCACCACATATTAAAAAATTAAATATATTCATTGCATAATTTGCATGTGCATGTGGCCATGTGCATATAAAAAATTGTAACAAATTCACTTTTTTTATATATACCTCACTGGCAGATATATAGCCATTTTGATCTTTATCAAAAACCTTGAAAGCCTCTCTTAGCTCCTCTTCTGCATCAGTGTCCTAAATGAAATAAAAAATAACTAAACTTAATCTTTGGTTTTTGAATAATATAATAATAAAATGTATATTGAATCTGTAATGAATAAAATGCAAGGAAAGTAATTGTATTACTTTCATTTTCCTTGCCATCAAGTTCAAGAACTCATCAAACTCAATGGTTCCATTGCCATCTGCATCAACTTCACTTATCATATCTTGTAGCTCTTCCTCAGTTGGATTCTGATCCAGTGACCTAATAACAGTGGCCAATTCTTCCACAGTAATGCAACCTATAACACATTCAACAAGATTAATTAACACAATTTTAAAATAAAAAAAATTTTAGCTTAAAGGAAAATAATGTAACTCACCATCTCCATCTTTGTCAAACAAACCAAAGGCTTCTTTGAAATCAACAATTTGTTCTTCACTTAGGATATGTGCCATGGTGTGTGCTTGTTTTTTATAGAGAAATATAGAAACAGAGAAAGATAAATAAGAGAGAGAATTGTGTTAAGTATAGTTCAATTAGGTGGCCTTTATATAGAATTTCAATGAGGTCAATCTAGTAAGATATTTTTTAAAATCTTAATTGAATTAGTCAAATTAAACTTATTTTGAATGCCTATTTTTAATAAGTGGTCATGTCAAGTGCTATATTTTTATTAGTCAATAAAATAAAATAAAAGTGGTGAAAATAGTAATAATATAGAAATGGACAGCTGGAAAGGTTGGATGCTAAGGAGACAAAAACAAAAGACTTTAATTGAAATTGAAAGGGTATGGAGTAAAGAGTATTGGGAAGTGTGTAAAAATTTCAAATTTCCATTCCATTATGGTTGGTTTTCTTGTTTGCTTGCATTGCACGAGAGAGAAGACTATTTGTTTATGCGTCTTTCTACTTGTGTGTGCATGTTTCGCTGTCAACGCGGTTATGGAATAATGAACCATTAATGAGCATATCAAAACGCGTTGTGTTGTCCTATTGAAATTGGCTTATCCTTTCTTCCTCACATTTCAACAATTCAAGTTTTGTTTTTATTCTCTTTTCATTAATATTACTAACAAGTTTAAAAAGAAAAATGTGTGTGAGATTAAACATCACATTAAATGAAATGGTAGAGGTTGAGTGAGATACAATAAGTTACAAGACTTGCATCTTTAACATCTTCAAATTTTGAGGTTAAAATATAGTTAGTTGATATGATATGATGATTAACTCTATTATGAGAGGAGCAACCACATTGCAACAAGAACAATCACTTAAATAAAAAATGTCACATATTCATAAATTATTTTAAAGACATTAATATAAATTATTTTATTTATAAAATATTTAACCTCTATTTTTTTAATCGATCTTGAATTTCAAACCCACACATAGACTTTTTAAAATCTCAAAAATAATACTTAAAACTTGATTCACCTTAATTAAAAGTTGAAATTGTTTAATAAAGGATGCAGAAGTATAAATTCAATGGTGAATAATAGTATGCAATGTCTTATTTGACAAAGTCTTAGATTAGGACGCCATCGCCTAACAATTAGGCCATCCAGGCAGAATCATGTTAGTGTACGGAAGAAGATGATAATGAAGATGGAGAGATAAGAAAGATTGTAACTAATTTTTTATTGAATTGAAATCTGTTACAAAGTGAAATTTTTAACAACTGAAACTTGAGTTCAATTTATATTCACAAGTCTAAGCTAAATACAACTCAAATGTAAATCAAATTAACTCTAAATGCAATAGAGTTTGGATGACACCCTAATACCATCCCTAATCCTCATTCAAGACCAAAATCAACAACATCAATTTCATTCCTCAAATGGATAAAGTGTTCTGTCTTGATTGCTTTAGTAATCACATACATCAGCTGATTTTGAGTGTTACAGTGCACAACTTCAAGCATTCCATTATGAACCTAGTTTCGCAGAAAATAAAATTTCATGTCAATGTGTTTGCTCCTTCCTTGCAACATTGGATTCTTGGCAAGGCTTATAGCTGATTTATTTTCAATCATCAACTTCGCAAGCTTTCTCACCTTGATCTTCATATCCTGCAGCAAGTTCAGAATCCGCACAGCTTGACAAGCAGACAAAGCACCTACCATGTACTTAGTTTCATAGGTTGACAATGCAACAACTGATTGCTTCTTAGAGCACCAAGAAATATAACCTCTCATATACTTAAAGAAATATCCATAAATACTTCTTCTGTCAACTCTATCTCCACACCAATTAGAGTTTGAATATCATATCAGCTCTAAATCAGATTCAACATTAGAGGAGAACAAAACTCAATACCTCAGAGTCCTCTTAGTATACCTCAATATCCTGACAGCGGCTTGGTAATGTGACCACTTTGGTTTGTTCGTAAACCTACTCATCATTCCAACCGCATAGCAAATATCAGGTCTGGTATCACAAAGATATTTTAATAAAGGCTTAATATCCTTTTTGGTCTCGTATCTTAACATCGGGATTCATTTTGACCCCTTAGCTTAAAAATGGTTCATATTGATCCCTTAACTCTTCGAAACGTTTCATATTAGTCTCTTTTGTCTTGTGAAAAACGATTAAGGTTTATAAAAAGATGTTTTTATTCATATGAATATTTGAAATCAAATTGGTTTAAGAAAAATCAAGAAAAGAAAATATTTTAAAATATTTAAAACAATTTAAAATAATATTTTTAAATATATTAAAATATATCAAATAAAAATATTTTTTTGATTTTTTTGTGTGAATAAAATATTTAAATATATGAATGATATTTGTTTAAAAAACTCATTTGAACATAATTAAAATTAAATATAGAAATTAATTTTTGAAAATAATTAAAATAAATAAAAATTCAAAGTGTAGATGTTTTTGATTGGCTGCATTTTATGGCTAAACATTGGAGTATGTATGAATGTCATAACTGATGTTATGACATACATGAAGAGTGTTCTGCAGGGAGAGCTAAGAGTAGGTGAAGCTGAATGTCATGTTGGATGTTATGACATCAAGCGTATGACATCAGGGCACACAGGGTTAGTTTTTCTGTTATTAGCTCAGGCTATACTTCAGGAAACAATTCAGGAAGCCTAGTTATCTTAGGCGACATAACAGGCATTGGTGAGGATAACATAGAAGACTCCTGACCTAATGATAAGGGCGCAGCTTCATGACAAGAGGTTTATCTTGGGTAAACCTAGTTTCTCCATCAAGGCCCAAAGCAAGTCTGCTGCTATAAATAACAGAAGGATCACTCCAAATAGGGCAGAGCTTGAAGGCAGAGCTTCTGGAGAGAGATTGTAGAGTGTGATTTGTGATTGAAAAACTTTGCTCTTCACGTGTGTTTATAAATCTTAGGATTGCTTGTGTGCCAAGCAATTGTATGTTGTATAATTGCTTTGGTTATTGTGTATGAACTGGTGTGTTCATTGTGCCACTCAAAGCTTTTAAGAAAGAGTGTTGCGTCTCTTGATTAAAGCTATGAAGCAAGATCAAGGTGTGTTTGAAGTGTGTCTTCATTATCTCCATTGTAATTGGGTATTGGTTTATATCACTGAGGTGATTGATGGGGAGTCAGTGGGAAACTCTGGTCTAGTGGTTTCTAGGATGAAGTGTCATTGGGTAGGTTTTAAGTGAAGAGTGCAAACAGATTGTTTGACTCTGAATTAATTCTACTAATAGTTAATTTCCTCCCTGTCTTGGTAGCCCCTAGATGTAGGTGTGGTTGACACTGAACTGGGTGAACAATTACTTGTGTTATTTACTGCTTTCCATTTACAGCTTATTATTAAGTCCAGTAGTCTGTGTTACAGTGGATGTCATAACATCCGTGATAACATCCATTGTACTGTGTGATTGCCAGAATTTCAATTGGCATCAGAGCAGGCACCCTACCTGTTATTTTCTGGGTGAGATCTAGGGAAGATAAATTCTGGTACTATGGATAAAGATATAGGATTCACAAATAGACCACCAATTCTGGATGGCTCTAATTATGACTACTGGAAACCTAGGATGATAGCCTTCTTAAAGTCTTTAGACAGCAAGGCATGGGGAGCTGCAAACTCAGGATGGGAGCATCCAGTAAAGACTGATAAAGATGGATTGTCTGTGCTTATACCTGAAGAAGAATGGACCAAAGAGCAAGAAGCCTTGGCCCTTGGGAATTCTAAAGCCTTGAATGCATTATTCAATGGTATAGACAAGAACATTTTTAGACTGGTGCGTCATTGTGAGCTGGCTAAAGAGGTTTGAGATACTCTCAAAACAACTCATGAAGGAACCTCTAAAGTCAAGATGTCAAGACTACAAATGTTGACCACCAAGTTTGAAAATCTGAGAATGAAGGGGGGATGAGACTATTCATGAATTCTACATGAATATTCTTGAGATAGCTAACACCTCAGAAGCCTTGGGAGAAAAGATGTTTGAAGAAAAGCTTGTGAGGAATATTCTCAGATCTTTGCCTAAAAGGTTTGTCATGAAGGTCACTACCATTGAAGAAGCTCAAGACATATGCAATATGAAGGTGGATGAACTCATTGGTTCTCTCCAAACCTTTGAGATGGGAATGTGTGATCAATCTGAAAAGAAAAAAAGCATAGCCCTTGTCACAAATTCAGCAGAAGACTCTGATGAAGACAATGATATAAGTAAGGAGAATCTCTCAGAAGCTGTAGCTATGCTTGGAAGACAAGTCAACAAACTCATGAAAAGGGTAGATAAGAAGGGCAGATTTAATGTCAATAACATCTCATCTGACATTGACAAAAGAGTCAAGTCTGAGGAAAAGTCCAACCAAGACAAAGGAGCTCAGTGTTATGAATGCAAAGGATATGGGCACACTAAAACAGAATGTACCACCTATCTCAAGAGGCAAAAGAAGAGCCTAGCAGTTACTTGGTCTGATGGAGATTCTGAGAGTGGATCAGAAGAAGAATCAGCCAAGCATGTCACTGTTTTGAACAGTGTATGCATATCTGATGGTGACTCAAGTGAAAGTGAGCTAACCTTTGATGAACTTGCAGCCTCATATAAACAGCTATACAACAAAAATGCTGAAATATGTCAAATAGGGGAGAAGCATAAGAAAATCATCAAGAAGTTGGAAGCTGAGAAGAAGGAGAATCTTGCATCCATTGACTCACTCAACAGTGAGGTCAAAATGTTAAACTCCAAACTTGATCAGATGACTAAATCTGTCAGGATGCTAAACCCTGAGACCGGCACTTTAGAAAAACTCCTACAGAGTGGTCAGCAAGCAGGAAACATGTCTGGACTGGGATTTGTAGCTGAACAGAAAACCACCTTGAAACCAAAGGCTGAAAATCATAGACCAAAACGGATGTCACGACCAATGTCACAACATCAAAAGACCAAAAACATGAATCAGGCAAGGAGAAAGTCCCAAAGGTGGAGGTGTCACTACTGCAGAAAATTTGGAC